TTATTTTGTTGTAAGAAAAAAAGTTTTAGAAGTAATTTTATGAACAGCTAATGGGCTGCCACTTAGGAGTTTACAATAAGCAACTTCTTACGTTTTTTTTACCCCTTCGCAAATTTTAAAGCTGATTTACAAACACAAACCACGAATTATCTTCATAAAGCCAGAGAGGAGAATTATTCTGGGTTTTTCATGGGCCCATTTGATGAATGAGGAAGCAAGGCTCAGAGGCCAATGGATGTACCTGGGTTTCCTGGCTGGTACGTGGTGGAGATGAGATTCCAAATTAGATCTTTTGTGTGCCTGATCCTGGTCCCCTAGGCCCTGTAGCATCTCCTTCCCTCTCCTCTGCAGTCCTCAGAACTTGAGTTCATTGTCGTTCCCAGTTTGTGGGCCACCCCCTTTGGTGAGGAAGACAGAGGGACAAGCAGCTGAATAATTCTGCTTTCCAAGTCATCTGTTAACATGGCACCATCTGTCAATTCTACCCAAGAGGCCAGAGTGGGGGAGGAGGCTGTTTTCCTGGAGTCTGGCCCTCCAGATCCTCCCAGAGCAGGAGGCAGGCACCCACAGACAGCATTTTCCTGCTCAGAATGGACAGCAGTGAACTAGAACTACCGGGGACCACCTACTAGGGAACAAGGCAGGAGGAAGGGCTTGCTGGGCGTCAGGGTTTGCATTAGGTGAGCCACACCTTCCACATTCACAGGCCCCTGCTCCTCTCCTTCCAGGGTTGTGAGCAGCATAAGCTGGCCCCTGCAGCAGGAGCCCTGGCCTTCACTGGGAGGCAGTAAGTGGGGGGCTGTGGCTGTCCACTTCACAGGGGCCCCCCGGCAGATTTATGGGACCTCGGGTGTGGCTGGCTGTTACTCAGCCTCTGACTTTTTAATTCCCCAGTCTCCTTATCCGCCCCGCCCCCTCCCGAGAAGGCCTTTGTGTAGGACAATGAAGAATCTATAAATTCTAGGGCATAGGGAGGTGGGGGAGGGGAACACTGGTCACTTCAGCGCCTCCTACCCACTCTGGGAGCCTTGCACAGACAGCAGGGAGTGGCCTCGGGGCTCCTGCCCCATGGAAGCCGACTTCCACTGGAGCCAGAAAGGGGGAGTGGGTAAAACCCTCACCACCATCTTTCACAGATAAAGAAACTGAGTCTCAGAGATTGATGGTGTCTCTAGTCCCTGCGGCATTTACTCCATCTTTTTCCTCCTCTTGTTTGCCCCAGATCATTCCCTCACTCAGGCATTCACTGGACAAACACCTATGGAATTCTGCTCTGTGCCAAATCAGGCACAGAGGAAGCAATGATTGGTTCCACCTGGGTCTCCTGCCCTGGAGGACCACATAGCAGGGGGCTATGGTTCAAGAAGAAACAAAGCATAGCTCCAGCTGGGCATGGTGATATATACCTGTAATGCCAGCATTCAGGGGGCCGAGGCAGGTGATCTGCCATGAGTTTGAGGCTATCATGGACTACACAGTAAGTTCAAGGCCAGCCTGAACTACATAGTAGGACCCTGTCTCAAAAAAAAAAAAAAAAAGGCATAGTTTCATTGCCAGCTATTCTGCAGATAACCTGCACCCTCTCTTGACACCCCGATTCCTCCATACGCACGCCCTCATTTACACCTTCCCCACTGGTCTGCTCCTGTGGATTCTCAGTCCCTCCGGATCACCCTCTGGCACCAAGCCCTTCCCTTCATGCCACTGTGGGTGCCGTGGGGACTTGGGCATGGCTGTGGTCCAACTGCCCTTGCTCCCTCAACCAAGCCAGCCCACCGCCCACCAGGCTTACCTGGCCTGCAGTCTTCTTCTATTGCTGTTCTGCACCACCTTGTACAGGAGTATTAAGCACCCCAGGGTCACCCTTATATTGATTTTCCCCAACCATAGGTCTGGCATACGGCCCTCAGTAGTGAGGCCAATGTTTACTATGCATGTTTGTGTTCCTTGACTGACCCTGCACACTCTGTGTATCCTGGTGTGGGGCTGGGAGTGCATTTTTGTATTGCTTTGTAAGCAAAGGGTATTAGTGCTTATTTCCTAGGGAAGGTGTACAAATTAACTAATTAAGTCAGGTAAAGTACTTAAAGTAATGCCTAGCCCATACAAAGTATTCAATAAGTGGAGGCTGCTAAGATTATTGTTCTTATAAACTACAGGCTTGCCTACCTGTATAAGGCACCTAGGTGAGCAGGTGGATTCGTTTGCAGTTAGCTACCAGGGGGACTCTTTTGAGAGATGACCAAATGGGCCAGCATTCAGTTTGTTCCTCAGGGGCCACTTTACCTCTTAAATGTCTGGAGTACTGAGCTCTACTAACATTGGTGCCAAGCACTGTGCTAGCAGAAAGCAAGAAAGAGGAGCTCCTGGGCTCAGAAAGCTGACATTTTGGCAAGTGGTACAGACGACAAATGACGTGAATAAGGGAGGGAATTACAGAATGCAGTGAATCCAGTGGATCCTGTGGCAGCACAGCGCAGGCAGAGGGGACTGCTTAGAGTTGTGCTTAGGGCAATGGCACAGCGAGAGTCCCATGAAGCCTGGGAGAGTGATCCGGCAAAGGGATCAGCAAGGCCAAGGCCAGAGTGAGGGAAGGCCTGTCAAGCTCAAGAAACAAAAAGGCAGCCTGTATAAGCAGTGTCACAGGGGAAATGACAGGAGGAGATGTTGGCTTAGACAGGGCCTAGGGTAGGAGGAAGGGTGCTGGGAGCAGGTATGCTCTGGGGCTTCTGATCTGTGTTTTTAAATGTCTCTGCTACTCATGTGGATCATTGTCCTTGAGCAGCAGAGCAAACAGGAGCCTTAGCTGTTGTACAAGGAAGTGAGTAGGACAGGGGGGGAGTGTACACAGAGGCCAGTCAAGATGTAACAGACCCCTGGCGATGTTCAGGGTGAGGATGGAAGAGGAGTTCAGGAAGAAAGAAAGGACCTGGGAGACAAACTGGTCCAGTTGTTTCCCTCTTGAACAAGGGGCTCCCTCTTGCCCTCTTTGACCCTGCCCCTTACCCACAGGGACCAACCCTAGCCTTTTGCTTTCCCTCTCCCTAGGGCCTGCAGCCCTAACTCAGGGATGGTCCAGGCTGACTCATCCAGCCCTTTGTGAAAAGAGGTCCCCCTGCCAGGGCTCAGATCTCAGGTTCCAGGCACCCTCTCCTTACTGTGCTACTCAGGTCACAATATACACATCCATCTGTAAAACTCGCCTCTTCCCAGCCTGCACCAAGGGATCAACCTGCAAATAAATCACAACTTTGAAAAAGAACTGCAGGATCGGGGGTCTTGGGGGCACTGGCCTGAAACAACTCAGAGAGGGGGAATGTTTCCAAGGGATTCTTCCAGCCTCTGTTCTGGGAGAAGCAGGTAGCCTTGAAGTGACACTCAGGCCCTCTCCTCTGGAAGCTGGGCCCTCCCAGCTGCGCTCCCCCACCCCACGCCCACACCCGCGCCCACGCCAGGGCCGGCGCAGCAGCAGATCTTCCGGCCTCCGGGCGGGCCCGCAGCGTGACCGGCCGTAATTGCTGCCATCTGCTCGGCCGCAGCCCTGTCCCCCGCGGCCGAGGGGCGCCCTCTTCCGCACACGGCCGAGCCACCTCACCCCTCCGGCTCCCCTGGGGGCGTAGGGCCCAGCTGCAGTCCTGGAGTCGGGCGGGGAGGCAGCCCAGGAGCCCGGCGTTCAGCCCCGCCCGGGAAGGCTGACGGGACGCCCCGGCGCGCCCCGCGTCCCTGGCTTGGGCGCAGCCACCGAGAAGCCGGAGCCAAGCCGGCAGCGAGGAGGCCTCAGACCCGGGCCGGGGCGGAGCAGCTGCCTTTGCCAGCAGCTGGGGCACCGCGCAGGGCTGTGCCTGTCCCCTGGCCCTGCCTCCTGAGTGTGTCCGCAGCATTCGGCGCAGTCTGCGCCCGAACCCGCGTGGGCGACTCGCCAGTCCTCGTGCCCGGCCTGAGCGCTGTGGAGGGCCGTGAGGAGCGACCGGCCCCGCGGCCCTGCCGAGGCGGAGCCACGAGGACGAGCCGCGTGGGCTGCGGAGCCGGCTGGAGTCCGGGCACCGAGAGGGAGGATCGATCGGGCTGAGCGCGGTGCTGGGAAGGCGCGCGTCTGGGGATTCCTTGAGAGCTGTCAGGGTTTCAAGTAACCGGCCTCGTTTATTCTAGGAACACTTTTGCCCGGCACCCTGAGCCCTTTCTCCTGCCCGCTTCCTCTTACTCTCCTGCAGCCCTTCTGGCAGTGCCAGGATGGACCCCAGGGTCTCACACATGCTGGGAAAGTGCTCTGCCTCTGAGCTGAGCCACACCCCCAACCCATGGTTTTGTTTTTGTTTTGTTTTGTTCTTGTATGTTTTAATTCTCACTGGAAAAAAAAATTTTTTTAATTCTCACTGAAATGCTCCTAGGACAGGTGAGACCCCCCACTACCACTACCCTGACCCAGTAAACCACTCCATCGAGTGCCTGAGTCGTGCAGGTCCCCTCCCTGCCCAGCCCCACAGCCTCACTTGGTATCACGGAGCCTGGTGTCCCCTTCTGCTCTGATACACCTGTGTTTGGCACAGACAGCCGCCAGCCAGCTGGCAGCCCGAGCCTCAGCACAGTGAGCTGTGGGGATGCCACAAGGGGCTCCTTTCAGCTCTTACAGGGCTGCCTACCTCCGGCAGAGGAGTCTGGGCAGGGTAGGAAGAAGGAGAGGGGAGTTCACCAGAGCTGAAGAGAAGAGGAATTCCAGGCAGAAGGAATAGCAAGTGCAAAGTCCTAGGAGCAGAGAAAGCAGGGCTGTGTCTCCCCTCAGGGAAGAGTAGGAAATCTGATGAGCTGGAAGCAAGTGTTGACGGATACAAGTCATCTGGTGTAAGGAGGAGAGGTGCTTAATAGGAGGCTGAAGTGAAGCGCACACTGTGTCAAGGCACTTAGAATTGAGCTTGCTATAGCAAATAGAAGCATCTATGTTGCAGGAAAATGTTTAAGTCAAGCCAAGCCAAACCAAAAGGAAGACTCTTGTACAGAGGAGATGAGAAGGCAGCATTTAATCTTTACACGTGCAGACTGTTAGATCTTTACATTAGTGGACTGTTGCAGGATAATTCCTCAAAGGCAACAGCACTGACTTTAGGAAGAGTTTAGTTTATATAGAATTTAGAAGTCGGAAGTACAAAGCAAGTGACTAAACATTATATAATTGGTTACATACGTGAAGTTATATATTGACAAGCAGGCTAGTCTTGAAACAAAGGAATTGTTCATCATAATACAGAAACACTCAATATAGAAACACTCTGGGAACAAGGGGTAGGGGCCTTTAGAGTGAGCATAGCTAAAGGCATTACCATAATAGAGGGGGCCCTTGAATTAGCCCGGGTGCCTTAAGTTATAGACAATTGCTCTGACTCTGCTCATCAGATTTGCAGCTAAGCTGTAGACACCATCAGGATCAATTAAATTTAGCAGAAATAGCAGAACAAAAACTTGGTCAGACTTCTAATTGATCATAAAATATCTATAAGTTTGCTATCTTATAAATGTGTTCCTACATTATAATTGTTCCCCAACATCTGTACCAGAAGGGATATATGAAAGAGTTGCTGGCCCAGACCGGACACTTTAACCAGGAAAAACCTCAGCCAAGTTAGGGGGCTCCTGCCTCCCCCGCCCCTATAGATTTACCTGTAACCCTATACCCCCATCCCTAAGAACCTGTCCCTGGAGCCAAACGTGTGCCAATGAAATACCTGTGCATCCCTAATGCCCCTTGGGGTCCACTCCAGACAGAGGCTACTTGTGGGCCTCACTCCACGTGTTCGACAGAAGAAAGGGAGAGTGTGTTCCAGAGAGAGACCGCCGGCCCCGGGGTGGAGATGCTGCGCCCCGGGGCCGGGGGGCAGGGGTGGTCTCTCCCCGAATTCCTGAAATAAAGGTTACTTATATTTTATACTCCTTTCCACCGCTCCTTCCACCCCTTCTCTACTCCCTTCCTTCCTCTTCCTCTACCTTTCTCAGACCTAACATAGACAGGAACATAAATGGCCAGAAGCAGTGAAACCGACAGGAAGTAAGATAAAAAGGTCAGCGTTAGCCTGGTGACAAGAAAGGTATTTAGAGCTGCAGATGTGGCTCAGTGTAGAGCACTTGCCCAGCCTGTGTGAGGTCCTGGGTTCCACCCCAAGCACCGAGGTGGGGGAGTGGGGAGAGGCAGGCAGGCTATTTATTTGCTTGGGCAAGAGAAGGGACTGGCAAGAACTATGGAGCACAGGGAAGCCAGGAGGATCCCTTCTGAGAGCCACAGCTGTCAGGCAGCTCCACGAGTTACAGCCACCCAGGAATACAAGCTCAGTGTTGTTGGATATTTTCAAGAAAAATCAGAAAAGGACTTTTTTTTTTTAATGTGTAGCTTTCTGCTTTTTAAATATTGACAACTATTTGATGAAACTTTAAAATATTGTGAGAGCCAAAAATACCATGACATGAACATAACTAGGGGCCAGATTGGGCCTGCTGGGCAGCAGAGTGGACGGAAAGCTCGGGGTTGCTTTGTGAGGAAGAAAATGATCTGTGTGGCAGGCCAGAGGGGCAGTGTGGAGGGACAGCCTGGGAGCTGAAGGTCAGAGGCCTGAGCATGAATAAAAGCAGCTGACCCGGAGAGGAGGGAAGACTTCCCAAGTATGGCAGCGGGGGCTTCAGGGATTAGCTCTTCTAGGAGGATCAAAAAACTCCTTTTGGTCACCTTTAAGAAACTGCAAAGCAACATCAACAAGATGTTCCAAGGTGGTGGGGAGGCCTATTTTGAGGGATAGTCTCCTGAAATCCCAAGGTGGGTGCTGGTAAGGCTGGGTCTGACATTCCAAACAGCCTGAAGAGGGGAGGGACTGTGCAGGGGGAGGGTCTCAGGAATCCAGCCTGGCCTTCAGGAAGACCCCAGCCAGCTCTAATGGGAACCACACGTGGGGTGAGCTTGGAATCCTGGATTGCCTGTGACGTTTGGCTTTGGAATTGGACATTTGGCAGGGGTCACTCCTGACCCCCTGAAGCCTGAGGCCTCCCAGCCCCAGCTCCCTTCCTAATGGCTGCCAGACACATTCTGCTCTGTACCCAGTCTTAGGCCTGCCTCATTCCTGAAGAGGGAGTATTTTTTGGGCCCCATTTCCTGCTAGGGAGCACCTAGCCCCTAGGGGCATAATTGTTCTCAGACAAGAACTGCAGGCTTCTTGCTAGGCCAAGAGTTGATGCCCCCAGAGACAGCAGAATAAGTGTCTCTTCCAGTGTTCCCCAAACTTAGTGTCGCTCCCAGATCCTTCTGGCCTTGTACAGGCTGGAATCCTCAGTCTTCAACCCTCCTGCAGCATCTGTGTGTGCTCTGTGGCTATGGCAGTCTTCGCCTCCTCTCATGTCCTGCTGGAGGAATTTCTTGCCCCAGCTTCAGACACCAGGAGCAGGGAACAGTCCAGAGGTAGGAGAAAAGCTCTGCAAAAAAGAGAAGGGGAATGAGTCCCTCTTAACATATTTTCTGGTACATTATTCTCACTGAATCCAAAACCTCCTGGCCAGGGGACTATGTGAAAAAGAGTCTCAATATATCACAGAGGACTAGAAAATCTCCTGATCCCCTAAATTGACTACTCTGGGCTTGAACTTTTGATCCTCCTGCCTCAGCCTCCCAGCACACTGGGATTACAGGCATATCTGGCTTCTGGTCCTTCGGTGGCTCACCCTGGCTTGGGTGCTATGCCCCCCCACCACCACCACCACCATAGCATGTAGGTGTGTATGGGAGGAGAATTGTCTGCTCCTGTCCCAGCCCAGCCTCCTCTGTTGGTGGCTCCTTGAGAACTTCCAGGCAGCCTGCTCAGCATCAGGAAGGGGCCCAGGAGCTGGACTGGGCTGCATTCCTGGGGGGAGGGGTGAAAGGAGGGGGGCTGCACAGACCCCATGCTGCCAGACTGATGCTCGCTGACCTTGTTGAACAAGGCCAGCCCCTGGCATAGGCAGCAGGGCTGGGGACCTACAGCCTTCGGGCTCTGCTCAGGATGAAGCCTTCTGTGCTCTGGCAGGCACTGAGTAAGGGATCCCTGAGGCAAGCTGACTTGGCCTACATGGAAGGCAAGGTAAGGAACTGAGGGCAGTCCCTTGGTGTGACTGATCACCACAGTCCCTGTGCAGGGCAGTTCAGTCTCCTAAATCTCCTAAAAAAGAGAGGAAGTGGATCCAGCAGAATAGAAATCAGGCAGCAGAAACAAAAAAAGTGTCCTAAGGAGCAGAGCCTAGGAGTTGGGGATAGGGTAGTCCCTCCAACACAGCCGTTCCCATCCCCCAGCCCGGTTTCGGGAAGCTCACCCAATGAATATTTAATAGCTCAGCGCTGGGCCTGATTGAATTTTAATGTAGGCGACCTGAGCCCTGGAGCCCAAGTCCAGCAATTAGTCAGGAGCCATTAACGCTGACGGAGCTGATTTATGGGCGGGGCCGGGCCCAGGCTGGTGGGGAGCCCCGACTGCTGGCTGCCCATGATTGGACAGCCAAGTCTCCCATGCTGGCCAATACCTACAGCCCTGTTTACCTGCTTTGCATCTCATTTGCATAGCACTACCCTGGGCAAAACTGCGTGGTGAGAACCCATGGTAAGCTGGTAAGCGGAAGCTCATGAACGGAGATGGTTCCAGTACCTGACCAGCATTTCTGGCCATGCCAGGAAAACCTCAGTGTTGCATGTGCTAATCTGGGGCCTCCCCCTATTTCCTAGTAGGGCCCAGTTCTAGGGGAAAATTCCAAAGGAGGAGGAGCATTGTCTAGGGCAGGCCTGGAAACCGGACAGAGCTTCCGGGCTCAGGACCCAACAAAGGGCCCAGCTGTACACAGGCAGGAGCCTTACTGAGGCATTATTATGTGCCAGGCACTGTACTCGTGCCCCCCACCTGCAGGAGTGTGGATGTGGTTGCTAGTTTTCAGGGTGCCAGTGATGCTCCAGAGGGCCGGGATGTGATGGCCCTCCTCCCTCTTTACCCCTCTTCCTCCTGACCCTGCGAATGAGCTGGGACTCAGCCTGGAGTGCTCTATTGAACTGTGCCCGACCCCTTAAATCACAGGTCAAGGATTTAGCTGGCCTGTCTGCTGCCACTCTGGCAGGTGGCCTCCTCGACACCTCCCCCTCCAGCCCTTTCCAGTTCTTGTCTAGCTGGCAGTGGGGGTGAAGGCAGACATTATTCCCTGACCAGGCTAGCATCTTTGTGGTCCAGGCCCTGTCTGAGCTAGAACTAGCGAGGTCTGAGGGCCTAGAGAGGGGTCGTGGGCAGTGGAGGCAGAGTGAACAGAATCCCAACAGGGAGGTCCCAGTTCCCACAAGGTGGCCCACATGGAGAGCTTGGCAGGGAAGGGTTGTTAATCAAGGAAGGCTTCCTGGAAGAGGCAGCTGAGAGACTTGGAGGGAGGGACAGGGCAAAGGACAAGGAGGAAATACTGCACAACATCCGCTTGGAGACAGGAGAGGGGGAAGTAGAAGCTCAGAAGCTCAGCTGCAGCTCAGCCCCTTGCTGTCCACCTGGGCTGGTGAGGCAAGGGCTATGCCAGTGTTATGTGGCCGCTGTCACAGATCATACCTGCTATGTACCAGGACTATACCTGGCACTTTAAATACACTCTTCCATCTACTGAAATCTGGTGAGGAGAGTGACCTTGGGGTTACCGCTTTCCAGGTGAGGACACAGGTTGGGGGAGTAATAACCTGGATTACACAGCTAGCAGATGGCAGAGCCCCTGCCCTTCTCTACCCCTCCATGCTGCTCATGGGAGCCTCGGAGTCAAAGCACACCCTCAGACTCCACTCTTCATCTCATGCCTCTCAGGTCTCTTAGCCAGGATTTATCTGGTGATATAAACGGATGTCACAGCCTTGGCCAGAACCCTGAGAAATGATGCCATGCACATTGCTGCCCAAGCCTGAGACCTTAGTGTACCATTCATAGCCCCACACTCTGCTTCCTGAAGCTTGCTGGATCTTGTTCCTGCCTTGCGTCCTGCATCTGCTCGTGTCACCCAGGCCACCCTCAGCACGGGCAGGTGAGGCAGAACGAGGGCCTCAGAAGCACTCTTTTTGTCCTGGCACTGTGCCCACAGCATCCCCACATTTCCTGTTTTCCACACCAGGAGCATGAGAGTGGACCCTCTGGATTCGGGGTCTCCAGTAGAGGAGGTCAGGGACTGGTGTGAGAAAGTCCCATGGCGTCCTGGGCATGCTGGGGACTGCTTTCAGCTCCTCTTGGAAGCCCACATTGCCCAGGTTGAATCTACTCCTCCTTCTTTCTTTTCTTCTTCTCCCTTTCATCCAAGCATTTATGGTTATGCCATAATTGAAAAATAATTTATTGAGAGTAGAACTTACAAATTTTAAAACTACAGGTTTTTAACCAGGTACCTGCTAAACCAGGTACAGCATCTCAAGCCTGTGATCCTAGCTATTCAGGAAACCAAGGCAAGAAGATCATAAATTCAAGGCCAGACTGGGCAATTTGGTGAGACTCTGTCTCAAAATAGAATATAAAAAGGGCTGGGTTTGTAGTTCAGTGGTGAAATGGCCCTAGGTTCAGTTCTCAGAATCACAGAACAAAATAAAATCTACAGCCTGAGTTTGACAAAGGTACATACACCTGACAGCCACCATTCCCATTTAGATGTAAGAGCCCCAAGATCACATCAGGTTTCCCCAAGTCCCAGGCACCCAGGCCCTTGCTCCAGGGTGATGACAGACTGAGCTTGTGCCTAGCCCTCTAGGTCAGCCTTGCATGTTGCTCTAGACTTTCCTGAATGGAACTGTATTATTTGTGCTCTTTTCTATTGCGCTCTTTTGGCTCAAACAATAGGTATCATTCTACTTTCTTTTTGTAGTATTAGGATTAAACCCAGGGTCTATGCATGGAGTTTCAACACCCCCCCCATCCCTTTTCTTTATTTTAAGACATGGTCTTGCTAAGGAGTCTAAATTTCTCTGGCTAGGCTTGAACATACTATCCTCCTGTCTTAGCCTCCCATAGTACAGGGATTATAAGTAGGCGTCCCTACACTCAGCTTCAGATAACAGTTCTGAGAGTCACCCATTTATTGTGTATATTGACTCCAATTTTATTTCTGAGAGTTCTGTTTCAAGAATATTTCATTTCTCTCTTTTCTTGATCACGTATATCTTGTTGATTTCTGTCCTTGTCCTATGCCATCTCTTAAAGTCACAAGGTAGATGCTACAGTCCCAGATAGCACATGCAGACCACATTCAGAGTCCAAGAAAAGCTGTTTTTCTTCCAGCCTCTGACAAATCCTTCTGAAGTCCCCCCAAAGAAACTCCTTCTGTCTCAGAGGCCAGGAGCAGCCTCCTGTCTCATGTCTCTGCCCCTTTGTAAAGCAAACCCTGGCAGAGGGACTGGAATCCAAGGGCAAGTTGGGCTGATTAAGATTCCTCCCCAGGCTGGGAGGGAGCTTGGCCACCCTGCAGAATGGGGCAACCTGGTGGCTGAGCAGGATTGGAGTTCTGCTGGTAAGAAGAGGACAGTGGCTGCTGGTAATAAAGGACAGTGGCTGTGTGGCTGCTTCTTCCTTGTTAATGGAGTTCCGATTCTGTGCAAAGATCACCCTGCAAGGAGAGTAGCCTGTGTTACAAACAGCAAATCGTGATGAATCTCTGCCAATCCTCCTAATCCTGTTTCTTTGACAAGGAACTGATTGAAGCCTGAGGACAGCTGAAGACACTACTTGTGGCCACCTAACATCTACCCTTTCTTTTTCCCTAAGGAATCAAACTTTAAGGAAACACAGTGCCTAACTAAAAAATGCTTCTATCAGAGCTGGAGATTTAACTAGCTGGCATAAGCATCTGCCATGCGCAGGCCACTGAGAGGACAGCCAGACACCAGCCTTTTCCTGTGAGTCAGCGCCATTTTCGGACTGCAGGGAAGAGAACAAGAAGTCAACAAGAAGTAAGACCTCCCTGAAAATCGGTGGGCTGCTGGTGGGAGAGCCAGTTGCCAGCTCCTTCTGGCACATGGGCTGGGAAACACGATGAGCCAACCCCACTCCACCCCATCCAGTCATAAGCCACTGGCCGATCTGGAGAAACACAGGCTGCGATAACTACTGGGTAGAATACAGCTTAATGCTTGCAGCGTTTAGTGTTTCTCTGAGTTTGCAGGCCTAAAGCCTGGTAGTCTGATCATCTACTCAGAGGATAACAATACACACTGTAGCATCTTTGAGGGATCTCCTTCTGAAGGTGGTGGCCATTGTTAACTTCCTATTATCTTGTTTGAAGTCCTTTAGCATTTTCATTGTTTTGCTGGGTTTTATTGTTTTGTTTTGTTTGCTTTTATTATATCCAATGGCATGGGCAGCTATTTCAAAGATAACAAGATATATTTTGGTAGCCATTTTGGATTTAAAGTCTTGTTTTAAAGTCCTTTATTGCATTCATTGTTTTGTTTTTATTGGTCCTAGTCTGTTGTTTTGTTTGATTTTTACTATGTCTAAAGACATCTGCAGCTTTTTTTTTTTTTTTTTTTTTTTGTCTTTTTCATTTTTATCAGTACCGCAGATCGAACCCACGACCGCCTGCTTGTAAGGCAGGTTCTGCAGCTATTTTGAAGACAGCAGGAGGCATTATGATGACCATTGTTGATTTCCTATTGTTTTGAAGTCCTGTATCATTTACACAGGCTTGTTTTGATTTGCTTTATTGTTTTATTTCACTTGCTTTTACTCTCTTGAAAATATTAATTTTAAAAAGAGGCATTCAGGAGGAATTGTACACACAGGGTGCTTCGAATTGTAACTGCCGTTTTGTGACCTAGAGGGGAACTACCCAGGGTCACAGCATTCAGGATATTGGGATATGAAATTGGGTCTGAAACAAAAAGGACCTGGGCCCTTGAACATGGAATTGAGCCTTTGAATGAACTCTGGAACCACCATTCCTAAGGCTTTTTATGTAACATATTGTGTTTTATCCAATTTAAGATCAGCTGGGCATGGTGCCCACATACTGTCGTATGGGACTCTGAGTGGCTGAGGCAGGGAGATCACAAGTGCAAGACCAGGCTAGGCAACTTAGTGTCTCAAAATCAAATCAAAATATAATAAAGTAGGTGGGGAAGGTAGCTCAAGATGCCAGCCTTGGGTTCAGTCCCAGGACTGTGGGGGCGGGGGTATACGTTTGGCCACAGTTTAACATTTTTAAAATTGGTACACATTTATAATCAGCATCTTAGTGTCGTCTAGACCACCTCTTTCACATCTGCTTGTGTGAACTTAGCAGCTTTTCTGTTGTTCTGATGGGGTAATTACAACCTTCATGTTTCAGTCCATAATCTAGGCAAAAATTTGTTTTGGTTTTGAGAACAATGTGGGATCCATACATCATGACAGAGATGATGTGTCTCTTCTGCCATTGGTTATAGAGACTGTGACTTCTCTCTTGAATGCTCTTTTGTGCTCTCTTGGAACATGGGTGGTAGAGGCAGTTATGTCATGAAGACAGATTTAGGGAAGAGATCCTCATAATGATGACCTGAGGTATCCATCCAAGTACTGAGGTCTCTTAGCAGCCATGTGAGTGGCGAGTGAATTTGGGAACGCATGCTCCAGCTCCGGGTGACTGCAGTCCCTGGAGGACAGCATCTCCATCTTCACAAGAGACCATGGTGAGCCAGAACCATCCGGCAAAGCCGCTGCTCCTTCCTGACTCATAGACTAAAGGTAAACTTTTGCAACCTAAAGCTGCCGAGACTTGAGGTGAATTTTTTATACAGCATAGATAATTAATTCAGAAGAGGACTCTTAAGAAATATTCTATCACCAATACTCATCAATACTCATGATGGCCAAGATGTTTCTTTGTGGAAAAGCAGACACTGACAGCACAGAGCTGAAAAGTGACTCCACGAATCAGACTGGATATGGTAGAGGTTTGTTTGTTTGTTTTTGTCTTTTGGAGACAGGCTCTCTCTATGCAGCTGAGGCTGGCCTTGAGCTCACTTTGTAGCCCAGGCTGGTCTCAAACTCACAACAATCCTCCTGCCTCAGCCTGCTGAGTGCTGGGATTACAGGTATGTTACACCATGCCCAGCTTGTTGTTTGTTTTTGAGACACGGTCTTACTATATAGTTCAGGAGGACTTTTAACTCACTATGTAGCTCAGACTGGCCTAGGCCTGCTTCAGTCTCCTGAGAGCTGGGATTATAGCTGTGTACCACCACATCTGGTTTGGATGTTAATAAAGTTTTAAATAAATCAACCAATTCATTTTATTAATGTTTTCCTTGTTATATATGTACAAGAATAATTTATGTTTTAAAAAAAAATGTATTTCTGGCCAAGGATTTAACACAGTGGTATAAGTGCCTGCCCTGCAAAGTATGGGGTCATGAGTTCAATTACTGGTACCAAAAAAAAAAAAAAAAAAAAAAAGTATTTGTGGAGCAGGGAAATAGCTCAGGGCATAAGCACCTGCCTGGCAAATGCAAGGTCCTGAGCTCGATTCCTCATACCAAAAAAAAAATGTATTTCCAAATTGGTATAACCACTACAGAAATCACTATGGTAACTCCTCAAAAATCTAAAACTGGAAGTTCCATTTGACCTAGCTATTCCCTCTATGTAGCCTGAGTTAAAAGAATTGCACCACAGTGATACATGCAGCACACATGTTCACAGCAGCACAATTTATAATAGCTAATTCTTGGAAACAGCCCATATGCCCATCCAACAGATAAAGAAATTGTGGTATTGGGCTAGGGACTCCTGGTACCCAGAGAAGGAAAAGAAAATGTGGTATTTCTTTTGTAACCAGAAATCAAACTCAGGACCTTGTGCTTGCCAAGAAGGTGTTTATGCTGCTGAGCTATATTCCCAACCCCATGGTACTTATTTACAGTGGAGTACTGCTCTACCAAAAAGAAGGATAAACTTGAGACATTTCTAGGTAAAGGGATGCACATTGAGACCATAATTCTAAATGAAATAAATCAGACACACAAGTTTGAATATCTCATTGTTGCTCTTGCATGAGAAACCCAAAAGGCAAAGAAGGAGCAAAATGGAGGCTAGACATGAAGAAGTAAGAAGAATCTGTCTAACTAGGAAGTAGAATGGGATGGGAGGGAAAAAAAATGAAACCAAAGCTTGTGTAAATGGATAGGCAGAAGGGGCGAAAGCAGGGGAATGGGAAAAACAAATTAAGATATATTATGTGCAGATACAAATTCTGCATTATGAATGAGATCAATATGTATGGGAAATGTACTAATAAAAAATAAAATTTAAAAAATGTATTATCATGTAAGTCTAAGGTTTCTTTTCAGTAAGTATAAATAAAAATTCTAAGTGATAAGAAACCAGTGTCTGTTTAATTGGCAGTCTTTCCCTTCTTACGGGACATACAGTAGCAGTGCTCATGAACACCAGTGGTGTCTAAACAGGTTATACAGACCTTTACAGGGGTACAGATTTTCAGGTTTATGGCTGATAGCAGGGGAGCGTGGTGGAGGAAGGGCCCCAGGCATCTCTCTTAGTTTCAGGAAGTGTGGCCAATTGTTGGGCAAATGTCCAGGAGCCAAAATGTCCAGCTGTATTGTCAGGAGACAGGGCCGTGGTTGGGGGTCAGGTTGTTTTGAGCAGAGTCAAGCATGAATCACTGTTGATTCACAGACTTTGACGTATCAGCCATGGCTCAGCCAATCAATGATAAGATGGAGTAGATATTGACCCACTTTAAAGGGGAAGTTGGGCCCAGCGCATTAAATTTACACAGTAAAGGGCAGACCTGGATTTGAACTCAGACAATCTGGCTCCAAAGCCTCTGCATGTCTTTTCACTACATTTCCACGTTTGTGATTAGTGGGGGATTTAGCAGCCACTGACTCTAAGGTCCCCATTTTACAGGGGAGGAAGCAGTGGCTTCCAGAGAGCCAGAATGGCCAGAATTCACGGTGCTGGGAGCACAGGATAGGCAGGCGGGCACTGAGCCAGAATGTGGGTGTCAGGGGCCAGGCACAGGCCTAACAGCGGCAGCTCCTCCTTGCCCAGCCCCAAAGTGGCCCCTCTTTTCCATTTTGGGAGCTGGCAGAGGACTTGAATGCAGAGTGAAGGATAGGGGATTCGGGCCTGGACTCCTTCATTCTCGAGATTCCCAGGCAGTGGCTATGACGGCTCCACCAGAGGTGGACGTAGTGGCTCCGTGTTCTACAGGCCTCTGAGCAGCTCTCAGATTTGAAGCCACTCCACTGGAAGAGGTGAGAGGCCTTGGTCACAGGGGCACACTCCAATGACAGGTATATGCTCCCAGTCCTGGAATGCTGTGTTTTTATTTGTGTTTTGTTTTGTAACTGGATGTACCACTGGACAGCCTTGTAATCCAAACACTCTCACAGAAGTTTCTCCAACATGGTTCTCCTGCCCACCAGGATAGACAGAGACAGCTGTTAAAGCTGTTACAGAAAGGTCTAATAATAAGAGCAACAACTCACTTAGCACATCACACACTTAGCACTTCACATTACTTTATTAATGTCCCACCATTATCCTGTGAGGTCACAGCATAGGCTTTCCCAGGTAAGGGGACAGGCTTCATTAAAGGGCTGCCCCAGGGACAGCAGGACAGCAACAGAGTCAGGATTTAACTACCGCCACTGCATCCCACTGTCTCCTTGCTGCACGTCCAACGTGGCATTTCCCATTTGTATGTCACTCCCTCTGATTTCTCTAGGAAGCAGCAGGATCTAATTCTAGTCTCTACTTCCAGAATTTACACTTCAGTACACACCACTGAATGAAAGAATGTTTTGAGTTTGGAGCCTCCAGCACTGGGGACTGAATTCAGGACCTTCCCACTGAGCTCCATCTCAGCCCTTTTAAACACCTTATGTTGAGAGAGGGTCTCTCTAAGTTGCGCAGGGTACACAAAACTTCTGATCTTCCTGTCTCAGTCTCCCATGCTGCTGGGACTACAGGTATGCACCACCTCACCCAGCTGTGTCTTTTCACATTTGCTAAATCCTCTGTGCAATATTTTCCTTTTTTGTGCTTTTGCTCTTTGTGTGATGGGGACCCTCTCTGTTACCCAGGCTGGCCTCAAGCTCTTGAGCTCAAGCGATCTTTTTTACTCCAACTTGTTGAATGCTAGGACTACGGGCACATGGGCCACCACACCTAGCTCCGCCTTTTGTGAACATTTTACAAAGGTGTTCGGAAAATAACAGCAAGAGTTGCTGCAGGACTGGCTGCCAATTATCTGAATGTGAACCAAGATGTCAGAGAGGCAGGAATTGGCCCCTTGGATGCACCAAGAGCCAAAGCAGTTATGCTTGAAGCCAAGAAAGGAGAGGAGGCACCCTGGCCCTCTGGGAGTGGGATTCCTGTCCAGGACCACTGTTTAGGTGGGATCAGGTTCCACTAAGCCCTGCTGAGCTTCCAGATCCCAGACCCAAAGAAGTGGAGGTCCAAGGGGCTGGGCTCAAGGAAGGGCTGGAAGGCTGAAATGGGAGGGGGAGGAGACCTTTAGGGCAGAAAGGAGAGAGGCAGGAACCTGCCCACCTCGGCAGTTCAGTTTGGTGCTGGATGATTTAAGTACAACCAGATGTTCTGGGAATCTCCTGTCAAGCCCAACCCTGGTAAGGGCAGAGTGGGGGTGGGGAGCCTGCAGGGCTACTTAGATTGCCAGTTCCCCATTCTGCTTTGGGCCTGTCCGGTTTAGGGAAGGCAGAATCCCAATGGGCGTGGTGAGTTACAGGGTGGTTCACGCAGAATGACATAGTCTTCTGCCTTTGGACAAGGTGGGATGGGCTCTAAGAAGCAGGGTTCTGGGATCAACCCTTGAAACTTAAGGGGTTAAAAAAAGAAGGGTTCTAAGGGCTCTTGGGTCCAGTTACTAGCTCTGCAGGGGATGGAGAACTGCTAGAGACTTCAGAGAGACGGGCACAGCTGATTTTGGATTCTGAAGGATGACTTACGAGTTCTCCAAGAGTTGGAGGGAAATGAGATTTCGGGGTCAGAGGTGCTGAGGTATTAAAAAGTGCAGATGTTTACAGAGGTTCTGTGAGACTATAAAGTGGGATTAATTTGGGATGCTGGCCCAAAAGCAGTGGTATACGTTAAGGGTGGAGTGGGGATGCATTTGTTCAGACCAATAGCAGGGACTGGTATGGGGAATCAGGTTCCCCAAGTGTTAAGCTCCTGGAGATAAAGGGGGGGCTAATGGCCAGTCTAAGCTCTTCCTCCGAGCTGTGAGTGGCCTGGCACAGGGGTAAAGGTAGGTATGCCCAGAGGAAGGAGCCCTTTTTCTAATGCCCAAAGAGGCCCCTGGGCTTCTAGTTTGGTTATAGAGTGGAGACTGAAACCAGACAGTCTGTGGCTCAGCTTATAAACAGTAAGGACTAGGGCCAGGCTTGGTGGCAAATGTCAGTAATCCCAGTGGAGCAGGAAGATGAGGTAGGAGAATTGCTAAATTTAAGCCCAGCCTGGGCAATTTAATGAGACCCTGTCTCAAAGAATAAAAATGTCTGGGGACATAACTCAGTAAGAAGGGTTCACTCCCTAGTACTGCAAAACGAAACAAAACACTAACCAATGACACAAAAAAACCCAAGCTTGGTGGGGTGGGGGTGGGGCATTCAGCAGGGTAGGGCAGTGTTGGGAACTGGGCCTTGGAACCCAAACAGCTAGAATGAGAAGGGCTGGAGTTTCTATCAGCAGGGAGAGCAGCCTGAGCTGGGTAGGCAGTAAGGGGCAGCAGCCAACTGGGTGTGGTGTCCTCTGGGCACACACCCCAACTCCCCAGGCAGGACACATTTCCTTCCTTTCCTGACCATAATGACTCCGGAGTGGCCAGCCAGAGGACCACAAAGAGGTCTCCCCGCCCGCCCTTTCCTCTTCCTCTCTTCCATTTCTTTCTCCCTCCTGCTCCCACCACTCCCAGGTCCCCTGTCTTTCCTTTCTCCTCATCTCACCTGCTCCTCCCTCCCTCAAAAACCCTTAATGCAGATCCTCCCTGAGCCACTGGGGTAATTTTTCTGAATGATTCTGCAAAAGCCTCGTGACAGCAAATCTCTGGGCCAGGAAGGTCACATACTCACCCCTCACCCCCCACTACACACATGCTGGCACTCAGCTGTGCACAAGCACAGGGCCCACTCCCTGAGGGCAGGTGGGGGTGGGGAGTGGGATTCTTCCCCTTGGATGCAGTACATGAAAAAGGGCTGGCAGAGCATGAAGAACCCTCCACAAAAGCCTTGCATTAGGCCATCATTACCACTATTATTATCCAATCCATTGCTGGGCACTTGACCTGCCCAGATGATCACAATGACTTCAGCAGGGGGCTTTCAAGGTACAGATTTTTTGCCTGGAGACAGACAGAAGAGGAGTCAGTCAGGATCTTGAGAGATTAGATCCCCAGGGCCCCACCCCAAGAGCTAAGGGTAGAAATATGATGGAGGGCTGTTTGCCAGGACTGAGTTTTCCTCAGCTCAGGAGACTGACAATGATATATTAACAGGACTTTAATGAGCTCAAGGAGGGGGAGCCACACTTCACTGCCTACACATTGGTGCAGGATGTGGGGGGAGAAGTGACCAATCTCCCCTCATCTGCTAACGAAGGCCCTTAATGTGATTGATGGCAGTCTGTCTGTTAGAACAGTTCAGCACTGCCAAGTTGCTGACCTTACCTCTTATGGGCCAGCAAAGGCTTTGTCCAGGAGCTGACCACGCAACTCGGGCACTGTCAGGACCATTCTTTAGTTTACCCTAATAGTGCAGAAAGGGTAAGATGGGCAGAACTGAGGACTCCCAGAGCTCCCCACAGCTTTACCAGGCTTGGTGTCCTGGCACTAATCCTGCTGGCTGAAGTTTCTTAGCTTATGTGGGCAATGGCCTTTCAACTCTTATCTCTGACCCTTTGAGAGAAAGAAAGTGGATTCTAGATCCGTTCTGCCGTGTAACTCAGGCATATCATCTCCTCTCTTGGTTTTAGATCCCCAGTAAGTAAAGAAATATATCCACAGAGCTCCTTACTGTTTTGTTGCCATGGGGCTGTCCCTTCTGTCTGTGTGGCAGGGTGTGCTGTGACTCTCTTCATCCTTTTCCTGATTCTAAAGCTAAAGGATGCCCCAGCATGCCAGGCTGTGGTCCTGGGGGTGTAGAGAGAACAGAGAATTCTGAGGGTGGAAGAGAGGTAACCTTCGTGAGTTTCAGGACTTTCTTGGGTGCTGGACTTGCTTCCATATGTGAGCTGGGGAAAAACCAGCTCTTGAGGGCCTTGCCCCTTCGTTTCCCTAAGTGGCACCTATGGGGTGCCCTGGACCTGTCAGACCCCAGGTCTTCCAGAAGAGTGGTCATAAGGAAAGGGGCTGGGTAGCATGCAAAACCAAAGGACTCAGCGTGTTCTGCCAGCTGGCAGGCACTCAAAAGGAAAAATAAAAACACCTCTGAAGAAAGGAACTGTAATCACTGCCCACGAGTGGGAACGCTGATGGCCGTGGGTCCCCCTGGATGCTGTCTCCTGCATAAATTTACCTACACCTTCCTATAAGCACAACTGTTGTCCTGCGGCTTCCTGTTCCATGCTGCATTTTGTGGGTGACAGGATTCCCTCTGCTCTTCAACTAGCAGCTCCACCAGGGCAGGGCTCTGCCTCTGGACTCTTTCAATGTCCACAGAGCCTAGTCCATAGCATGGTACAAAGCAGATGCTGCAGATGCTTAAGGGCTATCTGTTGAATGAATGCAATAACCAATGACTTTCCATGGGCCCCAATCAGCCCACTAGAGGCCCAGAATGCAGCCCCCTTGTTGGCTTCCCACCACTCCCACTGCTCCTTGGGGAAGTCCTCTACGAAGTACCCACCATCAGAGGTTACTTACACCCACTGTGCCCTGCCTACGCCCAAGGCACGGTGCAGAGCCACGGTCTGACCTGGCATCCGGGCAGCGGCGTTCAGCCGATGCTCAGCTCACCTGGGCTCAGGAAGTAAGCGTGAGTCAGCAGGGCCTTGGCCGAGGGGCCAAGGCAGTCTAGAAGAGGAGGTCTCGGCAGCCAGCGGACGGGGCGGGGCCCTTTGCCCTTCGACCCGGCAAGGCGCTCACACTCCGGGGACGCGCTCTGTCCAGGCCCGGCCTCCCGCCTCTCCGGCGCGGACCCGGGCCTCCAGCCTGCCCGCCGCCACCCCCACCCCAATTTCCCGCTCCGACGGCACGGGAGGCGGGGCCCGCGCAGGGACGCTCTCCGCACCGAGGGTCATTCACTCCTTCCCCCTCCGGTGGCTAATTTAGTTTGGAGTTAGGGGAGGACGAGGGGCGGGGCCGGAGAGCCGGGGCGGCGGGGCGGGGCGGGGTGGAGGAGCAGGGGCGGGGCGGGCGCTGGGGGAGGGAAGGAGGGAGGGAGGCAGGGGCAGGGGGGAGGGGGGAGGGAGGGGCCCTCGGGAGGGGCGGAGCGGGGAAGGGGAGGGAGCGAGGCCGGCCTGGGAGGGCGCTGGGGGCGGGCAAGGGGAGGCGGGGGTGGGGGTCCTGCCTGCGGGGGGAGCCGGGGCCGCCCCTTGTCCGGCCACCCCCACTGCCCAGTCCCGCGCCCGGCCGCGGCGGCCGCAGCAGCCGTGGCTCCAGGATGGTGAGCGCCGCTGGCCCCCAGTCCCGGCCGGTCGCCCCCGGCCCGCACCCCCGTCCCCGTCCCCGGGCCGGACGTCCCCCCGGGCCGCGCACACTCACCTAGGACCCGGCCGGGATGCCGAGGTACGCGTTGCGAGGCTGGGCGCGGACGCAGGCGGCCCAGGGTCAAAGGGGTGGCGACTGTGGCCGGTGTCCGGAGCTTTGTCCGCGGGCTTGGGGCCGTGCGAGGGCGGCGGGGCGGGGGCCGCGGATCGCAGGGTTCCATCTGGCGGAGGCTGGAGGGCGAGGCAGACCGGAGCCTCGGCGGTGCGTGGGAGCCGAGGGTCACTTCCCGGGGCAGGGGATCCGCGCGGGTCGCGCCTGACCGCCGAAGGGCACCCGCCTTGCGGTCCGCCCGGGCGCAGGGCTGTGGCTTTTGAGAGGCGCGGGCTCGGGAGAGTTTGTGGGGTTGGGGGTGGGAGCCGGGATTTGCGGGTTCGGGTCCCAGAAGGATCCTGCGGCCGGAGGCCGAGGCCGGCCCGCAGGCCCCTCCCACTCCGCCAGGTCTTTGTCCGGCGGCCCCTGTGTGCGGGAGGGGTGGGGGCTGGGTTCCCGGCTCGCAGATTCCCCAGCACCGAGACGGGCTGTGACAGGAGGTCGGGGTACTTCGGGTCCCTGCGCGCCAGCGCTCGCACCTGGGTGTCCGCGCGCCCGATCCCGAGAGCGCAGCCCCACTTCCGAACCGAGGAGCGGCACGAAGCTGTGCCCCCTGCACCCGGGCTCCTGGCGAGGACGGAGGGGGCAGCGACCCGGGCTCCCAACCCTTTAAACTTCTGCACTCTAGGAGCCCTCTCGGGTCTACTCTGCAGAGATTCCCAGGCTGGGACCCCTCGCGTCCTCCGCAATGTGTGGGGCACGCAGTAGGCAAATGTTGGGTCCCCTCGGGCCCCGTGTCCCTCTTGGCCAAGGGCTGCGGAGGGCTCGGCGCTGGGGAGAGTGCGGGGGAGAGTGCGTGCGGCCTGGAGCCAGCGCCCCGCGGCGGCCCGGAACGCAGGGTGGGTGGGTGGGTGGGCTGTTAAAGGGACCGTCACTAAATCAGGATTGGGCCGTAGGGCTGTCAGCCTGCCGGCCCTGTCTCCATGGATACCTAATTTGGAGGAGAATAGAGGACGGAAGAATGTTTGTGTTGTGGTCTGCACTGGCTCTAGAGCTGGGAGGGCTCCTGGCCTCCGCCCCGCATCTAGGAGTGGGACCCAGTTCCAGTCCCACTCTGGGCTTACGGCGGCGGCGTGGGGGCTTCTGGGTTCCCTGGATCCTGAGGGGTACCTTGGAGCCCTCAGGCCTGCAGAGAGGCCAGGAGCTGCTGCGGCCCCAAAACACCATGCAGATGGTGTCCCGGTCCCTCCCAGAGTCCAATCTGAACCCCCGGAGCATCTTTCTGGAATCAGTCCCTACCCGGAGCCCTCTAAGAGCAAAAGCCACTCTCTACTGTCTCTTATCCCTACATGGAGGGATGCTCTGGGTAGCTCCGGGATGCCGGGCTGCGGTGATGGGCCAACCCGGAGCTGGGCGCCCTTGCTGCTCAAGAGCCGGAGCCAAGGGGTAGGGGGCGGGGCAGGACTTACTGGGGGTGGCTGAGGAAAGGGGCGGGGCTTGCCGGGATGGTTGTGCTGTCCGGGTTGACAGGCCTCGTAAATCCCCCTTTCCCTATTTAACACCATTTCATTTATTTCCACTTGATTCCATTGATGTCCACAGCAGCCAGAAGCGACCCTCGAGCCCCTTGCTGTAGTATCTTCTGGGGGAGCCTTCTTGGGCCAAAGGGATTTAGCTGTGTGGAGCAGTGGAGTTGCTCTTCATGAGACCCAGATAACCTCCAGCCTTTGGAGGACCCCCTTTTCCCTTGGGAGAATTAGAGGCGGGCAGAGAGGCACAGGGATGAGTCTGGTCTCCCAGGCCCTCCCTGTATGTCTCTGGCTGTGGTACAGCCATGAGCTGGTCTGGGGATCTCTGCTTGCACAATTCCAGTTTAGCTGTGTGGAGCAGTGGAGTTGCTCTTCACGAGACCACGGTTGCAAGGAGGCAGGGGAGAGGGATCCCGACCCCAGTCAGTCCGGTACTCCAGAGCTTTTTCCTTTCCACTGATCATCCATGGCCACAGCTTTTTATGGTTCAAGAATCCCCTGCCCTCCCCTCCCCTCCCCTGCCTGGGCTGCAGCTTTATTGCTAGATCTCAGACTCTTCACGCAATTTCACGCCTCTCTGCTTTTGCTCCTGCTGTTCCCTCAGCCAAATGCCTTCCCATTGTCCCTGTCTTTCCTCTACCTCCTCATTCTTCAAGGCCCAGCTTGGATACCACACTTCCCTCTGCAGCCTCCCCAGAGCTCCCTGTTCTTGCAACTTACACTACCCTCCGTGAACTCCTAGTCCTGCACCTGTGCCTCCCTTTTGCCTTTTTGACTGATTCCAAATTTCATCAGTTTGAGGGCTCTGTAAATTCCTAATTTTATCAGTCGGAGGGCCAACCCAGGGATCTCTATCACTCCAGAGGACAGAGACGAAGCATATGCTCCCTTGCCCTGCCTCTTCCAGGGCTTGGCACCTTAGGGCTGCCCCATAGATATTTGGAAAAGGGGGTTGTAAGGGCATTTAGCTAAACAGCCCACAAAACATGGAACCTGGCCACTTTCAGGTAAATAGCTGTGTTCTGGGGAGTGATAGAGACCCCTAGGTGGGTCTCCTACCCACCCCTCTTCCTTTTGCTTTTTCCCCTCCTCCTCCTTGAGGACTGTTCCCACCCCCCAAGTCTGGGGAGGACTTTGCCCCTTCCCTTCCCCACAGACAAGCATTCTTTCCCTGCCATTATCATCCTGTTAAACAGAGAGGCCAGTCAGGATCCATATGGATCACATTAACAATTGCTTATTATCTGGGCTAAAGCTCCCCTACTCTCCACCCCCAGCTGCTACTGCTGCAGTTACTGGACCCTTAGGAGTCCAGCCACTCCCTGCCCCCACCATCGGTCAGCCAAAGAGGGCAGAGGACAAGCTGGTCTCCCTCACCTTCCTGGGGCCTTCTAGCAGAACTTTGCCTCTTCTGGACTTGGCAGTTAATGACTCCTTTACCTTATTTAATGAAAACCAGGCTCCTCACAGAAGCATGGCTCAGAGAGGTTCCAGGGCTCTCTCCTGGAAAAGGGGACTCAAGGACCGGGTGCACCTGTGGTCCAGTGCCAGGAGCCCTACCTATAAGAGACAGAGACAGGGGGTGAAGGGAGCCACTCTTGGTGGGGTACACTGGTGTTTTCTTCCAACTTAGTCTTGGGATGACCCTGCTTTTGTTTGGAGGTTGGAGGACTAGTGGACACTGGGACAAAGATCCTGGGAGCTATGTGACACCAAATCCCAAGGTTTTCTCTGTAGTAGAGAAGAAATAAGGCTGAAGGTGTAGCTTAATAGTAAAGCTTGTGGGGCTGGGGATTTAGCTCAGCGGCATAAGCACCTGTCTTGCAAGCAGGCGGTCGTGAGTTCGATCCTTGGTACCGATAAAAAAGAAAAAGACAAAAAAAAAAAAAAAATAGTAAAGCTTGTGCTGCCAAGCCCTGGTTTCCATCACCAGCTCCTACACAAAAACACATGACAAGAAATCTGAGTTTTCTGGAGCCACAGCTGATTTAGCCTTGCGGGATGAGGAGCAAGAGTTACATTTAAATATATACAACCCAAGAATACTTGGGTTCTAGAAGGAAGGGGCCTTTGGGATCACTGTCTGGCAGTCACTGGGCTGGGCTGCTGTTCAATGGTAGAGCCCCTGCATAGTATCCAGGAGGCCCTGGGTTCAGTCCACAACATCTGGAAAAAGCCAGTCTGGAAGTTCATAACTCAGACTGATAAAAGCTATTTTCAAAAGTACATTACCATTCATTGAGATGAGAGCTTGCATTCTCCTTTAGAGTGTTCTTGGACACCCTGAAGCCCTGGGACTTGACATCGGGAACTCCTCCCCCAGTATGCCCTCCGTGAGGTGCTAAGGCAGAGTCTGGTCTGTAGCCCACGTTTCCTGATCTCTGCACTGTGCTCACCCGTAGCCTTCTTCCTGGCAAGGGACAGCATGACACGGCCAGTGGTGGTGCTGGAGATGCTGGGTCTGGCTTCAGCTGGGAGTGTTCACAGTGCTTGTCAAGGTCTGGGCTGGCCACCTCATCTCCACTCGTGTGGCCTGGTGAGAGGCTTCAGGGACTGTTTTATTGTGTTTTGTTTCAGGGTCTACTTGACCTACCATAGAATAAGGGTGTGTGGAAAGAAAGCCTCGTTCTTCCTGGAGCGTTTTTCTAAGGATCTTGGTGATTCAGTTAACATTTAGATAGCACTTATTAAACAGTGTGTGTCTCCCTGAAGTGGGGCCAAGATGTGCCCTATTCATAAATATGGTCTTGAGGATTTAGTGAAGCGGTACTTGAGAGACCCAAGTTCTGGTCTTGAAGGTCTCTGGTCTGTGAAGGTGGGGCTGAAATGCAGCTGGAAGCGCTTAGGACAGTGATTGCGTGGAGGGGCTATTTCCCTGCCTTGCCAAGCCAAGAAAAGAGATTGCAGTGGGACCTACCTGGATGTCTTGCTGACTTTTGCTATATACTATAGTGTGTCAGCCTTCAGACTTCACTTCAGGGACTGGAGGAGGGGAAGGAATGAATGAAAGCATGAAGCCTGTGGCCCCTCCCTTTGTAGTACTGGGAATTGAATTTACAGTGGCCTTCACAGAGTTGCATCCCCATATTTTTTATTTGGAAGCAGTCTCACTAAGTCTTTGAGTGGCTCAGGCTAGGCTTGATCTTGAGGTCCTCCTGTCTCAGCCTCCCAGAGTACTGGGATTGTAGGTATGCACCACCATGCTCAGCTCAACCCATTTTCTGATGATTGGTCCTGGTCCCCACTCCAGGAACCAAACCCAGAGCTGCAGTGACCCTGCCTGCTGAGCAAATCAGCTGGGACAAGTGACTTCAACTGTTTTAGTTTTGACTTCTTCATTTGCAGAACAAAAAGAGCCTCACCTGTTGGTGACATGAGCCTAAGTGTGCTTCTGTATCTCTGTAGCACACACCCCTCTGATGACCTGCTGAGTGACTCAGAGCCCAGGGACTCCAGAAAATGACCTCCCAGCGTAGGAGTAAAGAGGAAAGTAGGACATGTGTGAGGGTTCTGGCCCATGGCCTCCTTGGAGCTCGCTCCTAAGTAGTCATGGCAGGGAGAGCGGCTGAGGAGGAGGACAGAGGAGAGCCAGTGTGACTCTGCAGGAATCTAGGACTTGGATGCCCACTTTCCTCCTTCCCCGTTCACTCCCTGGCAGACTCCCAGCCACCTGGTCCCCTGCTTGGTGCTAGGACTAATTAGGGGTATGAAGAGGCTGCTTCATTTATTCTTTTTTTTTTTTTTTTAGTCTTTTTACCGGTACCAGGGATCGAACTCATGACCGCCTGCTTGCTAGGCAGGTGCTTATGCCACTGAGCTAAATCCCCAGCCCCTAAGACTAACCTGTTCTGAGGACTGTCCCACTGTGTCCCAGTGAGCATCGGGCAAGGTCCTGGGTATACCCCAGCTGGGCTCCAGAGGGAGTGCAGCCAGTCATACATAGTTCACAGGATCCTGACATTCCCTAAACACTCACTGGGGCCTGTGTGCCAGACCCCCAGCTGGGGCTGTCATGCGTGGGTCTCCCTTAAACCTCAGCCTCCCATATAACCATGGGGTGCCAGAGGATGTGCCCAGCTCTCATGTTCCCTTGACATGGGCCCTGGCATAAACTATGGCTACCAGGCCCTGGGTATTTATGCAAGTAGCCATTCACTCAACACCCATTGTGGTTTTTTTGGTAGTGGGAATCAAACTCAGGAGTTTGTGCTTTGGCACTAAGCTATATCCCCAGTGAAAGATTTAAGATGTATCATGTACCAAATACTAATGAGGATTATAAATGTTGTTTTTATTTTGCTTCATTTTGGTTTTGGTGGTGCTGGGGATTGAATTCAGGACCTTGTGATGCTAGGCAAGTACTCTACCACTGAGCTATGTCCCCAGCCCTTATGTAGTTGGGAATCAAATTCAAGACCTCACACTTGCCAGGCAGGCACTGTGCCACTGAGCTAAGTCCCCCCCCGCCTTGTGTTTTGATATGATTCCATTGCTTGCAAGGTGTTGGAGACCAGCAGAGAGGCAAAGGAAGAGCCTCCACTTTGAGGATCACTGTTGCTCCCTTGTCTGAGTAGAAGGAAGCCTCCGAAGGCATGTGAGCAAAGTGCACCCAAGTGAGATTGGGGTGTACGTGCTGAGAGGAGAGAGGCTAGTTAAGGGGCAGCAAGGCCTTGCCTCAGTGGAGGCCTGGAGAGGGTGTCTTCCTTGAGGAGGCTGTGTTAGTGGGAATGAGCAGGAGGAAACTGAGACGAGGCCACAGATCAGGAAGAGTCCACCCAAAGCCAACTGTGCCACATAACCATCGGATGCTCAAGTCTGGGGATGTTTCTTCTTTCCAGGTCAGTGGGGAAAGCAAATGGGTGGATTTCCCTTCCCACCACCCTCGAATCAGGTGGCTTTGTCCCCACCCAGCCTGTGTGTTCCCAAGAGGGCTCCCTGGGAACTCTGGACACCAGGGGGTCTCAGTTCATTTTCTGCCGATGTAACAGATAGCACAGCCTGGGTATTCACAAAGAAGAGGAGTTTATCTGGCTTTT